AAGCAGTTGATGGCGATTTACTACCAATCACGGAACCGGCTTCACTGACGAGATACGCATGACAATCGCATGCGATTAATTGCACAGCCCTAGTTTCAAATAAATAAAGTCCTTCAAACTTTGTTCATCAAAAGAAACTGTATTTCCTCGCTTCATTAAGCAGCACAACCATTTCCAACTGGGATATCAATGCTAATTGTTTTTTTGTTTTTTTTGAGTACTAAAGTAATGGCTGCTGAAAATTCAGCTTTGCCATGACAGGAATAAATTCCATTTTAAAATAAATCAAAATAGAAAACAGTTAGTGCAATAATATTTTGCAACTCTTAGCTTTGTTGAACATAAGAATCCTTTTTCAAAAAATTAACTGATCCTAAAATTTGACCAGTGACGTATATGATCTGAATGTTGTGCTGAGCCTGTGTGTTTGTGTGTGTTTATTCAGTATGATCACCCTGAAGGTGCTGAACAGTATTGTGTTGTTGGGGAAATCCTGTATGTATGTGAAAGAGGCAAATATGGAGGAGAAGCTGTTTCAAAATCCCCCCTCTGCAGCTCCCAGCAGAGTGTCCAGCAGAGCCCACCGTACCAAACACACACGCGAACCACCAGGTAACACACATGCACATCTTCTGACCCACATAATAGAGAGAAGCCTGATAATAGACAGAAAATAGTTTGCAGAGTCAAGGTTTTGTTCTCACTAACCCATTGTGTCCATACCCCTCTAAAGGTGAGCCAGCGGAGGAGGGCATGTCTGCATCAGTCACCACTCAACCCACCCAAAGGGATGAATGCCCCGCCCCTCAGATCCCCACCAGCGAATCAGATCAGTTCCTCACTACACCAGATGAATCAGAAGAGAAAAGCCTTATTCAGGACGATACCGAACTTAAACACAGCGTGCCCAAAAAAGACTTGCTGGAGACTGACCGCTTTACTATCTGCGGTAACCGTATCGACTGACATTAACGCGCACCTTCAAGTTTAAGAGTGATGCCAGGTATGCACTGAAATACCCGCCCTCTCTGCCAGCTTGATTAGTTTGACATTTGAACCTGAGCTCGTTGGAATGAGACAGCGAGAAACTGCGGGATATTTATTAATAAGCGATGCACCTAATTTATTTAAGACTTAAACACACTTATACACAGACAATCACACCAACACACACCGTTTAACCAATTGGAATCCACCTAGTGACGTTTTCACACTTTCAAGAGGTTCAAGATCACCAGCGGAGGTCAACTTTGGACGGCAGGGAAGATCTTGGTCTGATGCTCACTGTACTTGCCTTTCAAAGGGGGCATCCAATTAAGAAAATGAGAGAAAGGGGTGGATTATATTCCTAAATTACATATTTGGAAGATTCCATGCATTTGTGGAAAAATAGTAGGATTCAAATAATCAAAAAATGTAATGTACAGTGCTCCAAAACAAATGTCAAAAATTCTTACAGTTGTTTTTTTCTTCATTCATAATTTCTCTATTTAAAAATGTCCCTTCCCCTCAAAAGACTTTTAATTTGAAATATTACCATGTTCATTGTCAGTCAGATGTGTCAATTACAGATGTGTTCCGCAGATTTTGTGTTTGTATCTTTTGAGTGAAAGCAGACAAAATACCGTATCACTATTTTATTTATTTATATTTTTAAGAGAGTTGCTAATTTCAGTTTAAATGCAGGGTTTCCAGTAACAAAAAAATAATGTGTTTTGCATCGTTTGAGGTAATGACCTTTTAAAAGGCCATTGTGATACTGTGATGAAATGCATGCCTGTGATATGTGGATTGATTGAAGTGCTTGATAAGTCGGCATCTGAATGAAAGGATCATAGATTTTTACAAGACAGTCGCATGGAATCAGAAAACTGAAGTACAGTATCATAACGTGATTTGCCAGCTAATATGAAGGAATGAAATATTTTCCCTTTAAGGATGGAAAGTCTGTTTTTTTCCCCGCAAACTCTTATTGTGCATCTTATTGTACCAAGAGTAGCATATCAGATGAACAATCGTACATTGGTGCTGATGTTGGGAGCAGATGCTAAATAGTCAATTACCAACATTCCAAAAGTCAGAATCTTGACCAAAGCAACGTTGAATATACAACCTTTTGCTAATATCTTGGGTATATTAAAAAAAAGGCCGGTTGACCCCAAATAAACCATTTTTACAAGTCAATAAGCATCAGAATCCAGTAATGTAAGCTAATAACAATGAGCTTCATAATAACCAACTTATCAGTCATCAGTGACATTTGTGAAAGCCCATGATTAGTAATAATGGATCATGTATAGTGCTTATTGAACTTATTGGAGTGCGTTTTCATCATAGACAATAATGTTTTCTACATTTGCTTTACATAACAGACCACACTGTCTTAAAAAGTAGTTTTTGTGATCCACTAATGTTTCTTAGTAGTACGGGAGGTTAGAATTGAAGTTTCTTTTTCTCAGTAATGGCAACATGTTTTGTATTTCTGTTTTTTTTTATTTATTTTCATTTTTGACTGATTTTGGAATTTGTATCATGTATAGTGCTTATTGAACTTATTGGAGTGCTTTTTCATCATAGACAATAATGTTTTCTACATTTGCTTTACATAACAGACCACACTGTCTTAAAAAGTAGTTTTTGTGATCCACTAATGTTTCTTAGTAGTACGGGAGGTTAGAATTGAAGTTTCTTTTTCTCAGTAATGGCAACATGTTTTGTATTTGTTTTTTTTTTGTTTTTTTTCATTTTTGACTGATTTTGGAATTTGTATTTCTTGTATTACAAATGTGTGGCTGTAATTGCTTTGCTTTGTAATACCATTCAATCTGACAATTTACACTCAAGTCAGCATGTCGACAGTCGGCATAAGGCTGTCATATTGTGTAAGGTGCTCAGTTTTTCAAAAACAAAAGGTTGATTTTAATTTATGGTTTAGAAATGTATTAAGTGAAAATATCAACTATGCCAAGGAATTGTTTACCCTCAGTTATCAAACTAATGCAAACTCTGAATCACACTTTTCAAAACCTCTTCAGAAGCATTCACTGGACTTAAACTGCCAAAATGATATCAAAGAGCATTTCTTATCGTTTTTGCATTTGAAACACTGATATTAGGAATACTTCTGCTTATTTTTGAAAGAAAGAGACCATTATAAGCAAATGTTTGGCTTTGTTGTGGTTTTCAATGTAACTGCTTGTGCATTCCCATAGGTTCAGTCACCTTTGGACTCTTGAAATAAGGCTAAAGCTTGACTGCACTGGATATGGATCAGTACTCAACAGGATGATTTTGCTGGACAGAACCTTTCTAGTTCATACTTAAATCCATTAATTTGGAAATACAAAAAAAAATAAAAATCCAACCACTCAAGTTCTTCCCATACTGCTGGATTTCACTGCTGTTTTTTTCTCACTGGTCAATATCAGTTTGTAGTTTTCTGTGTTTTTTTTTTTTTTTTTTTACCCAGATCTGCTTCAGCATCCAAGGTTCTAACAAACTTTATTTCCTGTAGAAACTGAAGAGGAATGACAATGTCAAATCTCTTATATGGGATGTTTCAGAGACAGAATTGAGGAGAGGAATCAGGGCGTTGTGTTAATTAAAGTTTTGTTGTTTTGTACGTTTGTTGTTGTTATTTGTTTACAGTGGATCCCTAATATACATTTTCATTTATTGTTTCATAAGACACCAGATGTGAATTTTTATAATGTTTCAATACTCACCCCCCTAAAATTATAAAAACATGATATGATTATTAACTATAATATTATATCATATAGTTTTACACTTTTGATTTTATATATATATATATAAAGTGTCATATATTTATACAATAACATAAATATTAATATACAAATAAACTTGTATTTCTGTAATATTTGCATCATACTGTATACGTCAAATCAACCAAATTTCAAAAACTTCCTTGGCTCAAATTTTTGATTTTGTGAATATTTTTTTCTAAATAAAGATAAACATATATATTTATGGAGCAATCCACTATTTTGTAGAGGGGGGTCAAAGTGGCAAGATTTGGAGTTCAATTACAGGGGAGTAAAATGACATTAGAAAGATTGCAGCATCATTATGTTATTTTTGCACAGAGATTGGTAGGTCTATTAGTAAAATCAGTTGACTTTAGTAATCTTTGTTGCATTATGTGCCAATGGTGACCATTCAAAAATGGGACAAAGCACTTTTCAAGTTTTTTATTTGAAGTTTGCATGCCTGTAACTCCAGAAATGTGTATATATATATACAGTATCTCACAGAAGTGAGTACAGTGGCGGAGGCCCTGTTTCGTATAATCTCCCGAGTGGGAATCCCGAAGGAGATTCTCACTGACCAAGGCACGGCGTTTATGTCACGTACAATACGCGAGCTTTACGAGTTATTGGGCATTAAATCGGTCCGCACCAGCGTCTATCACCCGCAAACAGACGGTCTGGTGGAACGATTTAATCGCACGTTGAAGACCATGATTCGGACATTTGTTCACGAAGACGCCAAAAATTGGGACCGGAGCAGAATCTTCAGAAAGGCGCTCTGCGCTCTTAAGGAAATATTACCACTCCGCTCCCTGCTCCGCTCCGCTCACATGCTCTGCTCATGCCCGGTCGAACGAATCTCATCCAGCACCATATTGAGATGGAATCGGGCGTGGTAGTACGCAGCCGGCCGTATCGGTTGCCGGAACACAAAAAGAAAGTGGTTCAGGCAGAATTAGAGGCGATGTTAGAGATGGGGGTAGTAGAAGAATCCCACAGCGATTGGGCGAGCCCGATAGTTTTGGTACCTAAAACGGACGGCTCGGTTCGGTTCGGTTCTGTGTGGATTATCGCAAAGTGAATGCGGTGTCGAAATTCGACGCCTATCCAATGCCGCGGGTTGACGAGTTGCTGGATCGGCTGGGCGCAGCTCGCTTTTATTCGACACTGGACTTAACCAAGGGATATTGGCAGATCCCCTTATCGCCCTTATCCAAAGAAAAGACAGCCTTCACGACGCCGTTTGGATTACACCAATTTGTTACCCTTCCTTTCGGGTTGTTCGGGGCACCGGCCACTTTTCAGCGGCTCATGGACAGAATCCTCCGCCCGCATGCCGCCTATGCCGCTGCCTATCTAGATGACATCATTATTTACAGTCAGGACTGGCAGCGTCATATGGCGCATCTGCGGGCTGTCCTACGAGCTCTGAGAGGGGCCGGGCTGACGGCCAACCCGAAGAAGTGTGCGGTTGGAGGTCAGGTATCTGGGCTTCCACTTGGGTCATGGACAGGTGCGTCCCCAAATTAGTAAGACGGCGGCAATTGCGACCTGTCCGAGGCCCAAGACCAAAAAGGAGGTGAGGCAGTTCCTGGGGCTGGCAGGACATTATAGAAGGTTTATACCTAATTATTCGGACCTTACCAGCCCGCTGACTGACCTCACTAAAGTGTGTGTGTGTGTGTGTCTCTGGAACTTAAACATACAGAACCTTAAAAATTAAGATGCCAAAAGGAAAGTTTGTTAAGATCCAATATCTAAAAGGGCAGGATATCTTTTACTTCTGGAGTTACAGGCATGCAAACTTTGAATAAAAAACTTGAAAAGTGCTTTGTCCCATTTTTGAATGGTCACCATTGGCACATAATGCCACTAACACAACACATCATGCCACATCTAACACAACTAACATTTTTTTCTTTTCTTTTCTTTTCTATGGCAGGACACCTCTAAACATCACATTCACAGGTGATGTCCTGAAAACATTGTTCAAACACTCATATTATAAAGCATAAAGGTACAGAGACCTCATGAAGTTCTAATTTTTTGCACATATTTTTAATAAAGTGCCTGGTTGCACAGCCACTTAGATCAATAGATTGCTTTCTCAACAAAGCTTTAGTGATTCAAATGGAAAAGAAACACTTGAGAACCTAATATTTACTGTTACACTTTTCACTGTATGTCTTTTTATAAGTAATTTAAATTATATTGAATATTCTTTTAACTGTCCTCTAGAATATAGGTTAAATTTGTGCAGATCCTAACAGTCACTAGAACTGTCCGTCACATTCTGGTTTGAGTGGCGAATGCATGAGGTGATGGTGTTGTCAAGGACCTAATTAAATCCATCCTCTGTGACCCCAGGCCAAAAATAGTTGCCTAAAGATTATGCAACACTAAACTCATCTGTGCTAAAACCATAGAGATCTAAACACTAAACCGATTGTGATTTTGACTTGAAATGTGTGTAAAATTAGATCACAGAATGAATGAATACCACTATGAGACAAGTCTATTTAAAACTGGATTAGAAATCTCAAATAAATCTCTAAAAGGCTCTCTAATGCCGAGTTGATGTTGTCTTTAAAAAAAAAACAGATTTTTTTGTTTCTATATTTACTATTTAGTTTATATTTACTATTTTTAGCTTTCATAACAGTAGCATGCTTGAATGAACAAAGCATACTGTCACAAATTGCTTTGTGACAAACAAAAACTTTAAAGGGGTCATATGATGTTGCTAAAAGAACATTATTTGGTGTATTTGGTGTCATGAAATGTGTTTATGCAGTTTAAGGTTAAAAAAACACGTTATTCTATTCACATAGTCTACTCTACCAGGATCAGGAAACAGTCCTACTTCTTTATGTACCATGAGCTTGTAACACTACAAAGAGAAAGGAAAAATTGAAATTGCATCATATGACCCCTTTAATATATATTTTAATAATTTTACCATGTTTCTTCAGGTATTTAAAAATTCTAAGAAATTGTATCCAGGTTTAAATTGTATTTTGACTTTTAGACCCCACCACTTATATAAACTATGTCATTTCAAAGGTATGTTATAATTACCAGAAATACATGTGACTGTAGTTGAATTCTGAGAGATTTTTATCATCTCAGGGTATGATACATAATATTAAATATTAAAATAATCTCATTTTTAAATTTATTTTTTTTAGATAAGAGCTACAGTTTAAAAACAATGAAACAACTGTGTTTACGGATAAAGACCAAAAGAATTTAATCATTATTTTTCCGTTTTACTGAACTTTTAACTTCAACGTGCTCTATCATACACTTTGAAAGCTCTTTTTTTCTCTGTTTCTCTGTTTCTCTGAGATGTGCATGTCGATTTTGGTTGTGCTGACTGACAATACAAAATGTGGCCTCTTTCTCTGTCTGTCTTTCACTCTTTGTCCCTGTTTGTTGGTATTCATGTCCATGCACACACAGCCGCACAGAGGCTTTTCAGCTGTTCCAACTGTAGCTGTGGGACATTTCAGTGAAGAAGACCATCAGCTGTCTTGGCAGAGTCCGAGTTGCTGCTTTTCTGCTCATTTGACTTTCTGACTGCATGAAAGAGAATATTACTGTGTATTTTTGTAAACAACGACTGATAGTTAAACTTTCTATTGCTCTAAAGCTGTGACCAGTAATCATAAGTTATCATCATTCTTTGACTGTTGAGTCTGATAACCACAGTAGGTCTAAGAAATTAAAATATTCTGTGAAGTACATATAAAATAATTCATAAATGGAACAATGCCTTCATATCTGTGTAATTTCTATATAGAGCAGAATAAAGAATAGAATACAAATAGAAAAAAAGAATCTAAAATAAAGAGGATTTATAGCAGTTATTATATGATATGATGTTTAACATCTAATTAACCTTATGAAATTGTGATCAACCAATGCATGGATAATCATTTCATCATTTTATGATGCTTTTTACAATTCATTTGAATTTGTTCCAAATAAATAAACCAGAAAAATGCATGATAAAACATGGAAAAAGAGTTCTGTGACCTTCATACAAAATCATGCAAGTTGAAATCTGTTCATCTACTAAAATCTGAGTTTTAATAAAAATCTACCTTTTAGAAGAAAACAGTGTCCAACGTTAGAAGCATACACAATTGGCTCATGTCTGCAGTTACTGACAGTATTGTCAGTTTGGAATTGTGTCTGTATTGTGTAAAATGCTGTAAGCATTTCGGCTTCTTTCATAGAGGAAAGGAATGATATACTTTGACTTGGCTTGACGTGATTTTCATCTAAAGCCATCTCCAGTGCGCGTGCACTAAGACTGCACTAGACAAGAGAAGAGCGCAGCGGGAGGCGCAGGTCAGACAGACACGCAGCTCATCCTGAGCTCTCCAGAACGGAGAGATGTTTACCATGAAGCCATCAAAAGGAAACGGGGAATAAACCCATCAGCTGGAATATATTTTTTTCATTATTGATTTGTTTTCTTTTTTTCTAATTTGTATTTTTGATGTCGAGGACTAGAGAGCATTCCAAACAAACATACGTTTACCTCACTTTATCTCTCCTCCACTTTTCGTTCCCTCCCGTTATATATCAAAAGCACCCCGCGTAAAGGACTGATAGACATGTGGTGGAAAGTGGGGCTCGTGCTGGTGATGTGCTCGGGTCTCACGAGCAGCGAAGCCCGAGAGGAGCACCGGGATTCGTCTCCGCGCAGCATGATGCTGAGAGTGCCGGTCGAAACGTTGGACTTTGGCTTCGTGCCGTCTGTGGTGTACGAAACGCACGCATATTACGAACCGGGTCCCATCGGCGTTCTTTTCCACGTGGTCCACGCGTTTCTGTACGTGGTTCAACCCAACCCTTTCCCGAAAGGTGAGATGCACACTGGCTTTGAGAACGCGCAAAAGTTTTCCACATTCTTGCGCGTGTATTTGTGGGTCAGTTTCACATGGCAAACGTCCGTATTCTTACAGAAGTGTGTTGTAGACTTTAGATAGATGAATATCGCAACTGCATGCTTTAAAAGTACTTCTTATGGCATCTTATGGCAAGCCGTTTTAACATTTATGTTTCTTAAATCTAATCTTTGGTAACACATTACACGTAACGGTATCATTGGTTATACTTTATTTGAAGGTATCCTTGTTACAGTGTAATTATACATTTAAGTACGGAGTAATATTAATTAACTACATGTACTTACTATATGGTTAGGGTTATGATTAGAGTTTGGTTTAGGGTTACTTGCATGTAATTATGCATAACTAATTGTCATTATAATAGTACATGTAACATGTGTAACAAGAACACCTTAAAATAAAGTGTTACTGTAACATTTTAAGGTGTCCCTGTTACAGAGGAAACACACAAGTAAGTATTGAGTAATATGTATAACAACATGTATTTACTATACACCAAAAATAACTGAAATAATTTTTGGTCAGAAATAGCTAATAAATTTCACAATTAGTTAAGAAGAAACACAAATAGTATTTTTTGTAAAACATACTCCAGTAATCTTTGTTTTATTTGCAACTTTAATAAATTAGTAAATAAATAAGTTGCTTGTAATTGTACATCATTTACTGTTATTACTAAGACATATAACACTTTAACAAGGACACTGTAAAATACAGTGTTACCTCTTTATATGTTAATAGTTGCCAGTTTAATTAACTAGTAATCTGAGTTTTAAATTCACTTGTTATTCATTATATACTAGGCCCACTTATTGCAGTAGTGACTTAATATGTATTCAGTTACCATGATACAAATTACATTGTTCCTGGTAACAAATGGTTAATAATGACTAGTATTAACTTACTTGTACTTTTTATTTGATATTAGCGAATTTGTAGATAAGTAGATATGAGACACTAGTATACATCTCATTTGTTACCTTCAATAAACTGTAAATGTGTAACTAATTGAACACATGTTCGCTACTGGAATAAGTACTAGTATAGAGATAGGCACAACTACTCAAGTATTTAGAAGTAACACCAATGATCAATTACGAAAATGATGATCATGCTTGACATTACTATCAATTCAAAATTCAATATCAATTTTACAGAAAAATTTCAAAAATATATATATAATTTTTTTTCATTTTGTGATTTGGTTATACTGCACATCACACATACACAATGTAGCACTTTCTTCCTGAATGGACCAGAATGCAATGGTTAGTGGCAGATTTGGTCAAGCCAGTCGCAGTTAAGATAATTACAGTAATTTGCAGGAAGAGCAGAGAAGTGTGCAGTGAGAAAACATAATGCCATCCGTTTTGATTTGTAATTTTGTAACAGGGCAATAATAATAATAATGATGGATATACAATAACAGTGAAGCACAAATCTCTGATTTACATAGACACATATTTTTAAAGAATCTGCACCTCTAACATAAAAGGTAATACTAGTTAGATTTAAGGAATAAATATTAAAATGGCTTGCCATAAATAAATGAATTGAAATAATGTGATATGATGTAATGTTATGCCTGGATGCACTCATAGATCCACTCATAATTCATTCATCATTTGCTTTCTGAACCTGCAGAAAGTATGGATATGTTGGTATGGAAATTATTACTAAACACAGGATAAGACAGCACTGGTTTTGATACTGTACTGTTTGTACTAACAGTAAAGTTAATTAATGCACAGATTTCCAGGTATAATTCAAAAAGTGATGTTCGGTTTATTCTGTGAGGTAATGAGGAGTGCATAGAGACCGGAATTATGTGCAAAATAGTGTTTGTCTCATATTGATATTTTTGTAAGTATCACCAATAATAATATTAAGAATTGTTTTGTGCTTTACAATTCTTTTATATATGTGTATTTGTGTATATAGTGTGGCAATATGCCCCACTATGGCAATAATAGTGAACATGTTTATATTTTATATAATATCTTATATTCATATTGTATCTATATTTTTAGACTTCATGGCATGTGCCTACACAGAAAGGACATTTTAAAAATAAACCTACCCTAAGAAACATTCACTGCAGACAAAAAAATGTGACAACTAGCCCTGGTCTATTTAAGGTCAGGCTGTTGGCAGGTGGATTTCTTTGTGAGGTCAGCATGTTGAGCATAGAGGATCGCTTGTGTATGTGTGTGTGTGTGTGTGTGTGTGTGTGTGTATGTGTTTTTAGAGTAGAATAGGATTGCATGGTTAAATCCCTGCTGCCTAACCAATTAGCCGATCTGCTCTATGAGTCACCTGGCCAATCAGGTAAACTGATAATCTGAGTGCCATATGCTCCAAAGGTACACGCAATGCAATATTCCTAACAAAACATTCGACCAAAAAAACAACCATTTTGCAATATTTCTGACCTTAACCCACCAATTTTAATGAAAAATATCACAATATAAGAAATGGGATGCCATTTTTAATCTGTAAATATGTGGGTGTGGATTTAGAGACAGACACACATCAAACACAAGCCACAAACAGATATTATTCCCTCTGCAATCTCTTTAGTACCGCTAAATCATTCTTTGCAGATTTGTAACTCCTGATTTTATAGAAAGGTACTTCTGATGTGGAGATGAGGCTGGATTACTGGATTAAACAGCAGTAACATACACATGGTTCAGGTTAAAGACCTATATAAAGCTATATTTCTCTATTCCGTCTGTCTGCAACTATTTTTCCAGATTAGTCACAGCTCACAGGTTTGAACACAGTTGGAGTGTGTTGTCTGTGAAGGAATAGATGGATTTATGCATGATAGACATAATACAGCTTAATATCACGACATTCATTCTATCTAAAGTCTGAGCTTTAATCCGGGGACTCCCTTCGTCTCAGCCCAGATAAAGCTTAATATCACTGATCACTGGATTAAAAAAAAAACAAAAAAAAACTGCATTGTAATTGAAGGACAGGAAGATCAACACCCAGATATGACCCAGTTATGCTGTCATTGTCTGTGTGTGAAGTGCTGTTCCCTCTGTTTAGACAATGTGTCTTTATTTGTCAACATGTTATATAATATTATACTACACTTCTTTCGAAGACTTCGACTGTTCAGTGTGGCTTGTTGTTTCGGTGAGAAAAAGAGGGAAGGAAGTGAGAGTGTGTGAATAGAGGGCTAAGGATTAAATAGGAGAGGAATGGGGTTTGGTAGAAGAAGGGAAAAAAAGGGGAAAGAAAGCATTAAGGGAGAGGGACCACTTAACTGCCCAACAGCAAGACCAGTGTAAGAGGATTAACCATATGCCATTATAACCAGTGGTACCCTTTCCTGTTCACACAGGATTTTTCTGGTTGCCTCTCTCTTTCTCTTACACAAATGCAAAATGTGAGATAAAGAGTTGCCATATCGCTCACACACACACACACACACACACACACACTGCTGCTCAGGAAACATTTCTTATTGTTATTAATGTTGAAAACAGTTGTGTTGCTTAATATTTTTGTGGAAAGCATGATACATTTTTACAAGATTTTTTAATAAACAGAAAGTTCAACAGCATTTATTTGAAATTGAACATTATATAACATTTGTAAAATTATAAATGTCTTTACACTTCACTTTTTATTAATTGAATGCATCTTTGCTGAATAAAGGTATATATATATATATATATATATATATATATATATATTATTATTATTTTTTTTATTTTTTTTTTTTACTGTACGTGTACGTTAAAAGTACCATTCATACTGACCCCATAGTTATATTTAATATCGCACTGATTCTTGAGAAGTGGGACAAAACAGGGTGCAATGTTGAAAAAAATAAAATAAAATAAAATCTTGTACTCAGACAAAATAAACTATATTGTTGTATCTTACATGTAAGCTACTGAGCTATGCTTTGATGCAACCTCCCAGCTTTTATCTTTTTCATCAAAATGTGCTTTTTACCTTGCCATCACTTATTTTGAAATCAAGCAATCAAGATGTTTTTAACATTTCAAAACACATTCTCGTGTTAGCAGACAGATTACATTTTCAGATGTGACCAACAATCCCTCAACAAATATAAAATATCATAATCAACTATTATCAAAATATTCATCTGACGGAGGTGACAGACCTGCCAAATCTGACGGTGGTGACAAAAACCTGAATTTGTAGTCATTTTAACTATCAAATACATTCAATCAATCAATTACTGTATTAAAATAAATACAACAAACAGTGAGTATGTTATTGTTTATAAGCTTTTATTCAAGATTCACATTTAAGCATTTTGATATATCATTGGAACACAAATTATCTCTCATCTCAGAACAGTATGTCTGCTTGTGCATCTAACAAGGTAACCTTTAAAAACGGTTAAGTGAAGAAATAAAACAATTAGTTGTTACCTCTATCCTTTTACATTCACCAGGATCTAAATATTCAGATTTAAACATCTTAACAAATGATCCAAAAATTATCAGAACACATATGATCAGAATACAAACAAACTGTATTATGTGTGGACATGTTTTATTCAGTGTTTTGTGTTCCCTCAGCCTTGTGTTCCCTGAATCTTATGTTCCCTCAACCCCGAACTCTGATAACAATCTATCCACAAAAGCAATATATGCTGTATATTTAGTCGTTATATATTATTAGTAAAGTTAAACACTATTTTATATTTAATATAATTAAAAATTATATTAAAAAATTTAAAACCACAAAAATATGATGACTTCTCGTTGAATGTCTACTCCGTCATTGGCCCGTCACCACTGTCACACAGCAAATCTGATGGTATTGACATCTGACAGTGTTGACAAATAAGGCATTTTTTTCACAAAACAAGTACAGTTCATGTAGTAGCCATTATGTTTTCTCTGTTGATACAAGATGCTAAAAGAACCTGCTTCAGGAGAATAAAATTATCTAAATATGTCAAATAATTTCCTCAGAAAGTGGAAGAGGGTGTTGACATCATGGTTGTGACACAGGACATATTCACATTAGGATTTAAAATATTCTAAAACTATAAAACTTGCCAGAGCCTGTCTGACACTGATGTACTCTGCAGAGGTGCAATGTGGCAAGGGGGTCATTTAGAGTGACAGCTGCCACTGATACCCTGATTTTATTACATTTTAATGAATGTCTAACAGTGTTGACAAAAAGTGGGGACACAACTTTGAAACCTTATGAAACACGCATGTGTCATTGAAAAACAACCTTGCTTTGATATGAGATATTAAGTGTTGCTTTTGATAAAACAAGCTCTTTTTCATCATTAAAATCATTTTTATCCATTTTATAGCATGAACCCTTCTCTGTGGACACACTGTTTTAGATGTAGTGAGAAGACAATAAGTGTCATAGATTTCATATAATAATGATAAAATCAAATTGAAGGGGATAATTGTGTTAAATACATTCTGTTATTAGCTCATAACATTTACAATTGAAAAATATTTTCATTTTTAAGCCTAATAGCAGTTACAATTGCTGTTGTAAAATGTTTTGTCCCATGTCTCAAGAATCAGTGATCTACATTCTATCTACAAGCATTTGGGAGACTGCAGAGGGAGGCATTATTAAAATGAGCTACCTCAAAGTGTTCTGTGATAGTGTTATATTGTTTTGACTGGGTGGGGATCTGTGACCTGTAGTAAAGTAGTGCTGCTATAGTTAGTGTTGTACAGTGCAGTCTTGGCCATGGCATTATATTTTGGATCATGTTGATCTCCTTGCAAGGTGTCATGGCAGAAAAAAATACCTGCTAAATTTAGTACAACTGTAAAGAAGCTTATCCATTTATGTAAAGGTGTTTTGGGGTTAAGTGTTTGTTTATGTTCGGGTGTGAGCATTACAGTTCTCAGTTCACTTCTGCAGTACACAGAATTGCCACTAGGGGAGTAGACGTTTCATAGACGACACTGTCTGTAACAATTTATATTCAATCATAATATCACTATACATGAAAATGCATTCTCTTTGTGTATGTGTGTGCATATGGATGCAAAAAAAGAGTATTGGAAATCATGCATACTCAGTGGAACAGAGGTCATAATGTTTGTTTGCTGTACTCTCTGAACCTCACTTTTGTTGCAGAAAACGTTCTGGATTTTTTTCATTAAAGGGGTCATATGATGCGATTTCAAGTTTTCCTTTCTCTTTGGAGTGTTACAAGCTGATTGTGCATAG